CGACACAAATCCAGGTCTGTTCCCACCATCCGGGGTTATTGTACTATTTCACCACCTTCCTGAGCTGAAGCAGGAGCGGCGGCTGCCACACCGTGGGGCCGGGGCTCCCGCAGCTGCTCCGCGGGAGGGCACCAGCGTCCCTGCCGTCCGGCCCGCTGGACTTCAGCGGGGCTGTGGCCAGCCAAGGCTCACCCAGCCTACCCCACAGCACTGGAGAGCTTCAAGAGTACAGACTTCCGAGTCACAGTGATGCATGGCAAAAACCGTCACAATATTGTAAAGTCATTATCCTCGTAAAATAAATAAATTTAAAAGAATACAGATATCAGATGATTAAAAAAAGATACCTGGTGTTCCTTTGCCCTACACCTGGGGGAAGTGCCACCGTTATCTTTTAGATAACAGAGAGACTGGGAAGAAGGCCTTTGTAGGTGTACCAGATTTTTGAGGCATTTTGTCAAACATAGGATTGTTGTGGTCATTGGTTAAACCATCTCCTGGTTGGGATGGCTCCTGCCTCATATGAGAGAATCACCGACCGGCCATGGCTTGGCCCCCGGCACTGTACAGTAGGGTGTATTCTTTAAGGGGTGTGTGATCTCAGCATACCTTGACTTCCTTGCACAAGTAAGAAGGGCCAGCTCTGTTCACAGCGCTCGCTGGACACTCCAGACATCTGCCCTGAGAGATCTAAAGGCAGAAGCGACCCACGAGAGTGCCAAGGTCAGTGGGATGGAGGGCCTGTGAGCTCCAGGGTGGAAGGGTCCCGTCCGAGACAGGACATCTCAGAACCACATAGCCCAAGGGGCTTGACTGCTTAAGACTTCTTAGCTCTCTTTAGAATTACCTTGGATTTTACAAGGGATCTTGTTTGTGACAGCAAAGCCATTTGTATCCTTAAACAAGAATTACAAACAGCAACAGAAAATTAACTCCAAAATAACCTGGAGAATAAATACACAGACACACCCACACACACACACACCACCGTTTATATGCAAAACGTTTGACTCAAGACAACACACAGCTGCATACAAACGTACACAGTGACTCTGTACCCTCATGATCAACCAAGTGCCATCACATCTGTATCTGGGTGGCCATGCAGAAAACGGAACCGTCGGGTAGACAAAGGTGCGCGTAGCTTTGTGTGCGAGTTTCTCCTCCTCTCTCACCGCACATCCCAGCCCCAGCCCCGGTACTGGCCTCTTTTATCTTTACAGGGCAGACTCGGTACATTTTACAGGACCTCACATACATTGCTGGTTGAACTGAGCAGGCAGGAGAAGGCATTAAAAATTGGCAGGTCAGGGGTGAAGCATGTTTTTGCAGGATCGACAGAGCCTCTACAGATACAGCATCAAGATAGAGCGTCAGTTTGGGTTAATCCTGAATTGCGGCGTCTCCAGGTTGAATAAAGAAACCACTCAACAAAGGATGCTCCTTCCCCAGGCTGAAGAAGCAGCTGGTGCCACCTACAGCCTGGAAACTGGTTCTACAACCCGCACCTGCCGCCCTGGCTGGTCCTCTGAGGAAGACAGATTAGAATTGATGCAAGGGATGGAAAATGGGCAGTCAGCTCTCAAGATGAATTTCCTCTGATAAATTGCCAACAACTAGAAGTGTGTTTAAAAATGATTTTGGCTAAAGAGATTTTGAAGATTGTAGCAATTAGATCAAGATTTGTGAACTTCATTTCTTATAAATATATTTCTTCTAGAACGCATCTTATGAGATGTGGTCACATCCTTTTTTTTTTTTGGCATATAGCAATCCCAAATCGTTCAGCCCAGTCCTAGATTAGGTTAGTGGGCACACACTTATCCACATTGTCCCATCTTCTTAGGGGAAACGGGATTACTATGAAACCATCAGAGAGCACACACTTCTGAAAAGAAATGAAATGTATTTTTATTGGCGGAGCCAAGATGAAGTATGTCTTGAAATCTGTTTTACAAATAAACTTGCCCATAAATTGTCCATTCACTGCTTTGAAATCTTTTTTCACATTTGAGGAGCTGTCAGAGGTCCCTAATAAACATGAGTCTTATTTAGTTTACTGGATATGTAATTCTTCTTTTCTTTGAAAATAATTATTTTTCAAGCAAGTGCAGCAAAAATACAACCAATAAAAATCTCGCTATGGCAGCATAAACAACCTTTATAGCCAGCATATACATAGAGTTCTTCCAATAAAAGCAGTTCATGGTAAGGAAGGGGACAGAAAATTGGCCAGACTTTGCCAAGATGGCGTGCAGGGCTCCCCAGGGTTGACAGAGGAAGCCACACATCCATTTCCACCTCCCTACCCCAGACTAGTTCTTGGCTATTAGGATGACAGTTGGAGCATCTCAGTTGCTGGGGAGGACCTTGGGCCACAGAGAACAAGGCGTGGTCACTTGGTGGGAACCCCGTGTGTCCAGTTTATCAAAACATCATTCGTGAGGCAACCTTCCCAAGGCCCATTCTTGGAGCCCCCAAAGCTGATGGATCGTGGGGTGAAATTCCCTGGGGGCTCCCGAGGGGCAGAACACAGACCATCCACCTCTTCTCATTCCAGGCTGGGGCCCCTCAGCAGGATTCTGCCCTGGGGCAGTCCAATGGGGGTGACCCTTTGGGGCTCCTGGGGAGGAGCCTTTGTTTAGCCCAGGCCTGCGGCCAGCCGTGGTCTGTGGTCACACCACCCCCCCACCCAGCTCGGGGCCACCCCAGCAGACTGAGCCCCAGTCCGGGAGGACGCCTCCTGTGTGGGTAGGTTCTCAGCAGAGGTGCGGGTGCTCATTTATGCCTTTACAGTAGCTTGAGAAGATGTTATCGCAGCTTGAGAACAGAAATTAAACATGTATCCTTCAGGTGCAAATCTACTGTACTTAGTTTTACTGTTTCTCTGCAGGGGGGCTCCATTAATCTTGTAACAGTGAAATTCCTGAGGAAATTAGTTTCCTCCAGTTGGGTTATCCTCAACCGGTCTTTGGGGGAGGAGTAATTAGGATTTAAGACTCTCTCTTAAAGCAAAGGAAGTATGGCCATTTTACCTGAGTAACGACACTTTTCGATGCCATGCTTTGCCCATTAAAAACCTGTGTGTCTCTCAGCTTGCCGACATAGGGTTTACAAATATTTAGCCCGGTGGGAGCTCAATGCCAAGTCCTCATCTATAGCGGCCAGGTAGGTGTTTTTCTCCGCCTGGGTTTTCTGTGCCCACCTAGCACTCAGCACTCTACCCTGCTGGGGAGTAACCCTTGGGCCCAAGAGGGAAAAATGTTCTCTCAAAAATGGGATGGCTAAAATATGTCCTCACTTATTCAGAAACGCTGAAATGTTAGCTGTAATTAACATAATTACACCTCAACCACACCTATCTATCTCTCTTTGAACTGGGGTCAATTCACAGACACAGGGTGCAGCACTTTTGCTGCAATAAATGCTTCCCTTTTCCTCCCCTCACCCCCTGCAACCTGGGGCCTGTAGAGATTGGCTTTACCGTGGGCAGGCAAGTGGACCCAAGTTTGGTTAGGTATCACAGGCAGTGATGTTTTTGCATCATGGACTGGAAACAGCAAGAGCTTTGGAAAGCTGAAAAGCACTCTGTAGCTGTGGATAACCTTATCTACCTGTAGCTCAGATGCAACAAGCCCTGGTACATGACTGGGGCTCAGAGCTTCGAGGAGTGGTCTTTATTGCCAAGCTCAGTGATCCACCTGCTGAACATTAGACTTGTTGATGTCAACAGTGGTAACTGCATAAAGGGCAGAATCTTCCAAGGAGAGGACATCCCTGGTGGTCAGAGGCTAAGATTCTGTGCTCCCAACGCAGGTAGCCTGGGTTTGATCCCTGGTCAGGGAACTAGATACCACATGCAACTAAAAATTTGTAAGCCACAATGAAGAGCGAAGATCCACTGTGCCACCACTAAGACCTGGCACAGCCAAATAAAAGAATATTAAAACTCCCCTGTTCTCCCTCTCCGGGAGCAAGCGCTCCTAACTGGTTGGGGCACATCCTTCTGAAGACTTTTTCTTTGCTACATTCACCTATACAGTAATATGTTGTATTTACAGAATTCTGCTTAAAGATGGTCATCAGAGTGAACGCCTTGTGTTCCAAATGCTGTTGTCTCCCCTTTTGTTGCATTTTTCATAGCAATCTCTAGATTGTATTTACTTTTTAAGAAAAATAATCTTTTTATTTAAAAATGATTGTACGGTCACATGCAGTTACAAACCACTCTAGTACTCTTGCCTGGAGAATCCCATGGACAGAGGAGCCTGACAGACTACAGTCCATGGGGTTGCAAAGAGTTGGACATGACTGAAGCGACTCAGCATGCATGCAGTTATAAGAAATAACACGAAGAGATTCTGTGTATGTTTTTTCCCCAAGGACAGCATCTTGAAACACTGTAGTACAATATCATAATTAGGATGTGGATGGATATTCATACAATCTGTCCATCTTCCTCCATTTCCTCAGCTTTACTTTTTGTGTGTTTTTTTTTTGTTCTACGCTATTTTGATCACATTCAGGTTTGTGTATCCACTACCAAAGCCAGGATACAAAACAGTTCCTCTGTTTTTACATTTTAAATAATGTAATTTACCATCTTCAGTTACATCTTCTCAGGCTGAGTCACAGGTGTAACTGAAGGCCCCTTTCAGTCACTGGCACAATGCTGCCCAAGAGAAAACACAAAATGAGCCAAAAATGAGTCACCTGCATACTTTAAACATCTCTAGCAACCACATTTAAAGGGTGAAAGTGAAAGCTGGTCGCATAGTTGTGTTCGATTCTTTGTGATCCTATGGACTGTAGCCCACCAGGTCCTCTGTCCATGGAATTTCCCAGAGTATTGGAGTGGGTTACCATTTCCTTCTCCAGGGGACCTTCCCAACCCAGGGATCGAACCTGGGTCTCCTGCATTGCAGGCAGATTCTTTACCAACTGAGCTACTAGGGAAGCCCCATTTAAAGGGTAAAAAGAAGTAAATCTAATTTTAATAATATATTTCACACAACCCAGTATATTTCAACATGCAATAACTGTAAAGACCGTTCACGGGATACACTACATGAACTTCTTTTGGTAACGAGTCTCTGAAACTCCGTAAGTCCACTTCGCCCCTCCTCCCCTGGGTTGCAAGCAGAGAGCGTGGTTCACAGCACCTACCACGTGCCGGGCTCTCACTCAGCCTCTGGGATGGAGACACAACTCCCGCCCTTGATGTGAGACCACAGACGCTTTGAACACGGTGAGGGGTGAGGGGTGCCCACAGTACACGCTGCGCAGGAGCCCTCATCTGAGGGTGGCTCCATGGGGCCTGTCCTCCAACCTGGTACAGAGCCAGAAGACCTCTCATGTCTGGAGGAGCCCCACGTGTCTGGGTGGAAGCAATGGCGGTAGTGGACCTGGGATCCACGAGGGGCGCTTTGGAGACACGGCCGGAGCTGGTCTGGGGGGAACCTTAAAGAGACCATCCTCCCCCGCCCTCCCCCCAGCCATCGGCACCGGGGGCAGGGGATGGCACTCTGCGGGAGGTTTCCTTGGCGATGGAGACTACCGGGACCATGGACAAGGTCACCCAGGCTGGAGAGGAGTGCGAAGCAGTGGTGGAGAGGTGGCGAGGGGGCACTGCCTGGAGCGTCAGCATCAGGAGGTGCAGAGGGGATCCGGGGGAGGCCTGAGGTTAGGGGGGCGCGGGGCGAGGGTGAGCGGGTCCTGGAGCCAGGCCTGACCTCACAGTGGGTGATGGTGGCCCATGCGCTGACGCGGCTTCGGGTTCTTCAGGGCCGAATTCGAAATTCCTTGTCAGTGGTGAGGTTCGGAGAGGGCGCAACCTCCCTTCCTCTGATCTCCCTTTCTTCCATCCCTACCATTTGGATTAAAATTTCAGCTTGTTAAATACACGCTTCCCTGGTGGCTCAGATGGGAGAGTCTGCCTGCAGGGTGGGAGACTCGAGTTAGATCCCTGGGTAGGGAAGATCCCCAGAGAAGGAAATGGCAACCCACTCCAGTACTCTTGCCTGGAGAATCCCATGGACAGAGGAACCTGGTGGGCTGCAGCCCATGAGGTCGCAAAGAGTCGGACACGACTGAGCGCCTTTACTCACTCAAATACACACATCACACACACACACACACACACACACGCATAAACCCTTCTCCCAGCTGCCTTAGGAGCTGCTAGCATCGCAGGCCCTGACTTCCAGGAGCCCCGGAGGTCAGGATTCCTGAGAGTCCAGAGCCCCGGGGGTCAGGGTCCTACTTGGCCAGCCGGACGCCACAGCCCCAGGGTGTTCACCAGCTCCGGGCTGGCACAAGGCCCTGGGGGGGCGAGTCCCGGGCGGACGCTGCAGGGAGGGGCCGAGCGGGGCCGGCAGTTGGCGTCCGAGGGCGCTCGTGGTCGGGCCGAGCGCGCCTGCCTGGGCGCTGGACGGGGCTCTCCCGTCTCCTGAGCGCCGTCCTCGGTTCTGGTTTTGCCCGCCTGCCTCTCGCCCTAGGGGGAGGCGTCGGAAGGAGACCCGCGGGGGTGCGTTGGGCCCGTTTGGGGGATACCGGAAACACCGTCCCCCGCACCCCAACTTGTGGGTCGGCGCTGGCGGGCGCGCGGGGCTTCCGGGCGGTCTCTCCGCTTCCACGTCGAGCCCTCGCCTGGGCACCCGCTCTCCGCTCAGCCCCCTGCTAGCCCAGGGCCTCCCCTGTGCTCGCGCCCTGGCGAGGCCTCGGTGTCCTCTGCGATGAGAGGGGTCAGGGCCGTGGGCGGGAGCTCTCGGAGGCTCCAAGGGGCAGAGAGCCTGCGCGGAGCTCAGGGCGGTGGGGCGTGTGAACCTGAATGCAGCCCCGAGTCTGAGTTGGAGGCAGATGGGGAGCTCCCTGGGAGCGTGGAGTCTGAGTTGGAGGCAGATGGGGAGCTCCCTGGGAGCGTGGAGTCTGAGTTGGAGGCAGATGGGGAGCTCCTTGGGAGCGTGGCGGGGGGGAGTGGGGGTGCGGGTGAGAGGGGAGAGCCTCTGTCTTCCTCGCCGCGGTGCCGAAAAGTGTTAATCAGAACAGCTCATTTGGCGTTTCAGGTCCACTTGGTAAATTGTTGAAAGAGGTGGGCCCGGGGAGGCGGGTGCGTAGGGAATGACGTTGACTCATTGATGGAAAGGGATGCGGCCTGGAGGCGGCCTCTGGAAGGAGCCAGGCTTGTGTGGATCTGTCCTTAATAAACGCTCAGTTTTCCCATCTTAAGTAAACAGCGCCTGACGTCATGAGCACAGAAACCTGAAGCAAACATAAACGCGGTCACCCTCTCCCCGTGAGGGTGAAGACTATTTTGCTGTTTGTGTGTCTGGCATTTTTGATTCTATGTTTCATTTTTTTTTTTTAACCTAAAAGTCCTTAAGACGTCACAGTCGGTTAAAATTTCAATGTTAATACCATTTGGATGCATTCTTGCCTGTGTCTGAAATGACCCAAGTTCAGAGCAGTGGCAAGAACACATCCAAATGGTATTAACATTGAAATGATTCCTTTAGATGGGCACGTGGGAAGTGGTGCTTGGCATCTGGGGAAGGAACAGATCTCTGCTCCTTTTGGTGGAAATGGCAGCATTTCAGAATATGAAATGCCTTGTTAATGCCATTTAACGTCTGTTTGACAGATCATCGCTTCTCAGTTTTAAAATTTCATGTGAATTGAAAATGGTTTTTGCCTAAGTCGTCTAATCACATGTTTATGTGTTATTGAAACCTCAGTTAGTCTATACAGTGGGGATATTAATACCCATTTGCAGAGTAGTTAAGGTTTTTCCCATTTGTAAAATATTTAACTAATATAGTTTAATACTATATGATTTTAATACATGGTAGTTGGTTTTATCTGCACAGGATTAACCTCAGGAGCAGAACATCTGAAATAACAGAGAGACAGCCGTTTATTGACCACTAATTATTTTACTGACAACCAAGGTTCATTATGTTGTTTAGAAGCACAGTAGTTAGGATTTGAACCTCCGTCTTCTCTAAAAGGTTTTTCCTTAAACAGTGCACCCTGCACATTGGGCTATCCATGAAGATGGAGAGAACAGTGTGACATCAGGAGAGGGTGACAGCATTTACGTTTGTTTCAGGTTTATGTCCTCATGATGTTAGGCATTGTTCACTTAATTGGAAAGTAGAAGTTAAGCATCTAAATATGAGAATAGTGTGGATAATTTAAAATAACATTAATGTAATTCTTTTTTTTTTTTTTTGGTAATTCTTTAATGTTTTTAAAGGGCTTAGATATTTTTGTTTGATCTTCCCAACCTCCCAGGGTATTATTGCTGTTTCACAGATGTGGAAGTTAGGTTAAATTACTCTTCAAAGCCGCATTAGTAGTGATGGAATTTAAGTTGTATATGTGTACTTTTTCTTTTTTACATACATTGGCACATACTGTTAAAAAGTTTTGTAACCTATTTTAATTTTTTTAAAATGTACTCTTCGTAAGCATTTTCCTATGTTATTAAATGTTCTTTGAGATACGATTTTTAATGACTTTATAATATTTTATGATCATTAAGAAAATTATATTGTTGAACAATAGCTTTTTACAGTTACTTGCTATGTAGAATACTGGGGAAGTATTCATATACATACATTTTTGTCTCTTTAATGACTTCTGTAGGATAGATTCTTGACAAGAAATTTCTGAAAGTTTCCAATTGAACTTTTACCAGTGGGATATGAAAGTGTTGTCTCACTTTATCCTTTTTATCATTGAATATTATGATTTTAAAAATCAGTTTTCAGTTTGGTAAGAAGTGGTAATGTCCAGCTGCATGCGTGAGAGGAAGAGGAAGCAGTAATTGGTGAAGTATCAATACTTCCTCCATAGTCTCTGGCCATGCGCCAGCGCTCCTCTGAGTTCTAGATACAGTGGGGGCCCATGGAGTGGGGGCCTTACCGTGTGTTCCTCTCCTGCCTTAGGTGGCTCTTCATTCGGAGCCTCCTGCTTTCTGTGTCCCATGCAGCTGTCCCTTCTTCTTTGGTCCTGTCTGTGACCTTTGTCCTCCATTTTCCTTTGTTTCAGCACAAGACCTTGCTTCCTACCTGAGAAAATAGGACTTCAGTAGCCTCATCAGACTGCTTCTTCTATGTGCCCCTCCACCAACACAACAGATTTACTTGTAGCTTTTCCCACTCTAGGGGCTTCCTGGTGGCTCAGACGGTAAAGAATCCGCCTGCAATGCAGGAGACCTGGGTTCGGGTTCGACTCCTGGGTCAAGAATATCCCCTGGAGAAGGGAATGGCAACTCACTCCAGTACTCTTGCCTGGAGAATCACGCGGACAGAGGAGCCTAACGGGCTACAGTCCATGGGGTTGCAAAGAATTGGGCACGGCTGAGCAACTGACACTTTTTTTTCACTTTACCCATTCTTGATTCCTTTGCTCCTGACCCAGAGGAAACTGTCCTCTTCTCAAGGTGAATTCTTCTCTGCTCGAGATTTCCCTGTCCTGCCACCTTGAATCTCATGTCTTTAGCCTCTCCCTCTCATTTGCACTGTCCCCTCACAAAATAAACTAGGAAGATTTTCTTGCACTGAAAAAAGCCCATCCCTTGATCTGTCTGGATCCTTGCTCTCTCTTTGTTAACAGCCCAGTCTCTTACCTAGTAGGTTCCTAGCAGTTTACTTCCTCATCCTCAGCTCAGTGGTCCACACATTGCTTCTCTCACCTGCTAAAATGACTCCCAACTGCTGGTTACTCTTTTTGCTCCATTTGATGGTTGTCCCCTTCCCTTCCTGACTCCTGTAAGACCCCTGAACCTTCTCTGGTCTACCGCCAGACTCCTTTCCCTCCGTCTCTCTTGACTTGGTGTTGACGAGCCCCAGAGGCTCTGCCCTTGGCCCCTTCATTCTCCAGCGTGGATGAGTGTGGTGCCCATTGTCTCTTGATTCGCAGATCTGCGGATTAAGTGTGGCCTTCTTTCCTGAGCTCGACTGTCACTAACAGCCCACTTGACTTCCTTTCCTCTCAGGTTGCCAGCTTCTGGACTGTGATTCGTGGTGAGTGCCACCACTACCTAAGTCACTAAGCCAGAAACTCGGAGGTACTAAGCCCCTTCTATTCTCAGCTGTATCGTTTTAATGGTTTAACAGTTGATTACTTTTTTCCTTGCCCAGGTTTAATTGTCCTTGTTTTTTTCCTCCTTGTAACATATTTTTCAATGTGTTTTTCCTGAGTTTTCAGATTTTTTGTAGGTGAAAGTGAAAGTCGCTTAGTCGTGTCCTACTGTTTGCTGACCCCATAAACTGTGTAGTCCATGGAATTCTCCAGGCCAGAATACTGGAGTGGGTAGCCTTTTCCTTCTCCAGGGGATCTCCCCAACCCAGGAATCGAACCCTGGTCTCCTGCATTGCAGGTGGATTCTTTACCAACTGAGCTGTGAGGGAAGCCTTTTTGTAGTTGAGAGAGAGTGTATTTGAATTTGGGCTTCCCAGGTGGCGCTGGTGGTAAAGAACCCACCTGCCAGTGCAGGAGCCATAAGAGGCTCAGGTTCGTCCCTGAGTCGGGAAGATCACGGCACCCACTCCAGTCTTCTTGCCTGGAGAATCCCATGGACGGAGGAACCTGGCTCCAGTCCATGGGGTCGCAGGCTTGCACACGACTGAAGGAACTGTTTGAATTTAGAATTTTGTAAAAGTGAAGGGTTTTTCAGTTGAGTATGAGGTTAGACTTAAAGGTGTCTTTGCCAACATAATTTTATATGAAAATAGTTAATAGATATATACTGAGATTTCTAAAGATTTTATCAACAGTTTATTAGTCCACTATTTTGTCTGTTCATACTGTCAATTTTTAGAAAATACTTTGTAGCATAATATAAGAAAGTTTGTAAAAAGCGGTTCCGTTTTTTTCCTTGTTTTCTGCTTATATATTTCATTTGCCACATTTTATTCCTATTCCTATGATCACTTCATTACAATACCATGTTTAAAAATACTAACATTAATAGTAGTAACACATATACAGTCATGTTTCACAACCATTGTGTCCTGACTGCAGAAATCTAGTTTCCTGCAGGGTCTCAAAATAGAGTTAATTTACAAGGCTAGTAGTTGAGGTGGGTGAATATTCAGAACCACTTCATGTGAGCTAAATATTGACTCAAAAAATACCATTAATTTGAAAATTAATCCGAAAGAAGACCTTGAAATCATATTTCAGCCTGTGTTTAATATAAGATTTTAGCAGTACAAAAACAATTCAGGCGGTCCTTGAAAGGTTTCTTTGGTAATAGAATTTAATCTATCACTATTTGCTTATTTCTAAAGCTACTGTATTTTTAAAAGCTGCGTTTTTCGGATTTACAGGTCCCTTCTTGTGGTCCATTTCTGGGCACCATGGGCTCCGCAGTGCGCTCAGATGAACGATGTGATGGCAGAGCTCGCCAGAGAGCACCCACAAGTCTCGTTTGTGAAGGTACTGCGTTTTCAGTGTCTTGTCTTAGGAATTTAATTCTGATTTTTGGGTTAGACTACATTTTATTGACATATAAAGGAGTGGTGGTGTGGGATTCCTCATATTCATAGGTAGTGTTGGGATCTGTTATTTTCACAGTAGATTATTCTTAAGCCATTTTAGGTTTTATATTTTTCAAGGAGGGAGTGGTGTAAAACTCACCACACTTTCCTGAATACATGCTTGGGTGGGAGGACAGGATGGGCAGTCAGGAGAGGGTTTACCTCAGCACTGGCAGGCGAGATCACTCATTGTGGGTAATTGTGGTTTTATACAGTAGAGATGTTAACAAGACTTGCTTCATTGAAAAGCTAAGTGGGACATGGAAAGTGATTCAAGGAAGGGTGTGTGAGGGATCCAAGGAACAGGGGAGTAGGGAGAGCTTACTGCCGGGGGTCCGGTCAGTGCAGGCCTGCAGGGAGCCAGGGTCTCTGTCGCGTCGGGGAAGCAGAGGGAGGAGGAAGCCAGCCTCTCCCTGGCTGCCTTTGTTTTTGCTCACTTTGCGTGTGGCCTTCTTTGTCCTTGCTCTGGTGCTCCAGGCTCCTCATTCCTGGTGTCTGTCTCGGGTAGGCAGGACTAGGATAGTGAGAGTTACAAAGGACGAGCTCGCTTGGTTTTAGCACATTTAATGTATCAGTCAGGACTTGTTGAGGCAACATGGCCAACATTTGAGTTGAGTGTTTTAGAAATGAACTTTTGGGAAGGGAGGCATACCCTGTATTCAGAAGCTGAATCTTTAGGATTTAAGAAAGCAGACAAAAGCCCAAAGCCTTATTTTTTAAAAAAATAACTAGAGGATGTGTTGGCAAGCATATGGAGTTAAAAGTGATATCAACTGTATTTGTCTGTGTGCCACTTTTATGTAAACTGAAGACCCAGAATTCTGACACATTAATTTATTTGTATAGTGGCTGATACACTTTTCAGACAGTTTCTGTTTAAATATGTGTCCTTTGAACAGGTATTGATTGCACATAGATGGTTCAAAATCAAAACAGTGTAGGAAGAAGTCCATTGAGAAGGCCCAGCCTACTCCTTCCCACCAGCCCTGCCGTCCCATCCCATAAGTAACACTTGTATTAATTTTGTATGAATCCTTGCCGTGTTTCCTTATGCAGATAGAGCACGTATGAATAGTTAGCTTTTTAAAATTTAAGGACTTATTTAAAATTCCAATGAAATGTGTAATGTAACCTTAGAATACAACCTTAAAATGTCCAGTATAAATAATAGAAGCGGACATTAAAACTGCATGTTTGGTCAGTGATAAAAGATAACGATTACAAGTGAAATAAATGATTAAACATTTCAATCGTAAGATTAATCAAGACAATGGTAATTGTTGTAAGTCTCCTTTTCTGTATATCATGTTACTGGTTCAGGTAACACATTGTTCTTAGCTGCCATTTGAATGATTTATTTAAAGTGACTGTAGGATTACTTCTCACATCAGTACCGGACTTGGCAGTGAGATTTTAAGTTGTTCAAGTGCTTAAGTGTCTCGGCAAGCCAAGGGTTGGGAGCCCTCATCTGTTGGGGATACCTGACCCTGACTGCACCTGCTGTTCAGAGAGGGTGACAGGTTTATGTGGGTAGTTTGCTCAGGTGTTAGTTTCTGGGAAGTCACTCTGTGGGATAGTTTTTCTTTTCTTAGACATCTTCAGAGGCAAAGATGATTTGCATGTAGGTAGGCGATTTAAAGGTCACAGTGCTGAGCAGTAGCCAGCCCAGGAGAGGTGAGGTCCCTGAGAGGGGCGCTGGCATTTCCCAGAGGAGGGGCATGTTGTTCAACTAAACACAGCTTTCTCAGTGAGAGCTCTGTGACTCTTCCAGTCTATAGAATCGACATTTTCTAACTCTGTTTCTTATGATTTGATTTCTTGGTTTTTTTTTTTTTTCTTTAAACAGCTGCAGTTGTTTGGCAGTTTTGACTTGAGGTATAGAGATTAGTTCATTCTATGACTTAGATTTACAGAATCATTGCATAGGACGATCTTAAACACTGTGTTTTTAATACTTTGATTCTAAAGTTTTGTGATCAATTCCTTATTTTGTAGAAGATGGTAAAATAACATCTGAGAGAAACCTAGAATACATTTTTTTTTTTAATCCAGTTGTTTGTGCCCATTGGAATAGGTTGCTGAAAGGCAAGGTTTTCACTTCCTGCGTTGGAATCCCCTCACTTCCTGGACAGATGATATGGTGATAAAGGACGTGTGCGCCTTCCTGGTGCCACGTGCAGGCCGGCTGCCGTGTGTCCACCTGTGTTGGCTGCCACGTTCCGTCAGGTCCTGGGGCTGGGCTCGTCCCTGACCTTCTCACACCTCCAAGGGCTCGGAGGAGATAGTGAAGTATTTCTGTTGCTTGAAGTCTCACAGAAACCTTACATTTATTCAGAATAAGATTAAATAGCTAATTAAAATGTCAAGTGTCTTTGCATTTTAAATTATGTAAAGTCAGTTTGTTAGTACTTTAACTACAATGGGAATACACATTTATCATTAAATCAAATTGTTTGGTCAGTAGACTATTTCAAGATACAGTGTCTGGTGGTGGCGTGGGAAAGAGGAAGAATAGTTTTGGGTGGTGAAATTGGGGCCACTGGTCAAATTCATGGTTCAAATCAAAGCCATTTAAAAAAAAATACGAGTTGCAATTTATTTTTGAATTCTTACATTTGATATTATTATGAATTTTGCTTTTTAAGTAAAGATTGTGTGTATTTAAAGTGTACAACGTGATGATTTAAATCAAATCCATTTTGTGTGATGTCTTTTTTGTGTACCTCTGTGACTTTTTTTTCCCTTTCCTCTTTTTCTGAACTTAGTCTGTTCCATTGGTTGGACTGTCAGGGAGTCTCTTGTTTTTTCATTGGCTCTGTCGTTTCATTCCTATTTGGTTGACTTCTTGACTAGGTGGTGAGATACTTGAGGTCAGGACCTTTCCTGTACCACGTTTGTTTTGTTTGTTTTAAATTGCTTTTCTTCGTGCAGGTGACTCCCACCTCACGTGCCAGCCTTTTCTCCTCTTTATTCCCTCCCCTGAATTCTAGCTTAGTCCTATTAGACTCTAATACTCAATTTACCATATACTGCACTTTGGTATAAAAAATTTATTCTTGAAGTCAGACTTAGCAACCACCTGGTTGGTGAGATTTTGTATTAATGTATTTAATTTACTATTAATCTTGTTTGTATGGTAGCTGCTGTTCTTGCATTTTATGCGCATTGTATTTTCAGATATGATGAAATCAAGGGTACAGAATGAATTATATACTTAAATTTTTTTTTTATTCCTTAAAAAGTAGGAATCTATAGTTTGGTATATTCTTAAATGTGCAACCATCTTAAAGAACAGCTCACACTGTAATTTCTAAAGGTCTTTACAGTTAGTATAGATAATTTCTGTAGCTTACACTGTTTAAATTCTAAATAAACTGTATGATTAGTGAGTGTAAGCAGAAAATGTAGGGCAGTCTCCAGAAGGGTGCCAACTAGCTGTATAACTAGGTTTTGGCTAACTGGCTGTATAACTACTATCAGCATCGGCTGACTGGTATCAGCTGATAACTAGGTATCAGTTGACTATCTGAGCTTGTTTTTTGTGTGTGTCAGAATATTGATCAGTTTATTTGGTGTCTTACAGAGCATATGCAGGATTCCATTTTTTAGGAACTATAAAAATGTGTCTCATAATTCTAGTAGGATGGTTAAATCTTAAAAATAACATAGTTTATTAGCTGTTACTGGGTAAAGTTTGGCAAAGTGTTATAAAAAGTTATTAGAAATGTTCATTTAAATACTATTTTGAAATTTATATTTGACTTTCTGACAAAGAATTTGACTTTGAAAGATTCACCTTTTATAGCACGTCACAGAGTAGAAAGAAGCCCTGTATGAGGTATAACAGAGTGTCCCAGAATGTCAGGTGCTTTTGTTTGCTTGCTTGTTTTTTTGAAGTCTAGTTGATTTATGTTGAAATGTCGAGTTTTCTCATCCTTGCCTCCTTGGAGCCTCAGTGCTGCCACTGGCAAGTAGTCACTTGTGTTTTTGGCTTAGGAATAGTGACTACTGTTTGTTCAGAATTCTGTTTCTTGAACACTTCATTATATGCCACACAGGAATACAGGACAGTAAGGGTATAGACAGTAAATGGGTAACACAGAACCAAGGTAATTTCAGGTGGCATGGTGTTCAACAAAAGGAATACAACAGGCAGGCTGTGAAGAGCGGGTCTTGAGTAGGTGGGGTGCTTTTATGTAGGTTGTGCTGAAAGGGTGTATCTATCAAGTGAGAGTTAAAAAATGCAAAGATGGCAGTCACTGGAAGAGCTGGCAGAGAACCTTTAGGTAGAGGCTTAGCAGGTGCAGACCTCAGAAGAGCAGTGGGCGGCCAGCGGGGCTGGAGAAGAGGGAAGGGGTCGAGGCCCTGACTGGAAGCTGCGGAGGCAGGGAGGGCCACGTGGCCTTGTGAGCCGTGGTCGAGTTTTGGTTTCATTGCAAGTTCAGTCTGATGCAGTCTGATTCCTAAGTCAATTACTGTGGCTGCCATGTGGAGAATGGTTTGAAGTGGGTTAGGGGGCAGACTTGAAGCAGGTCTTCCAGTTAGGAGCCTGTTTGACTAGGCCAGGTAAGAGATTTCTCAGACGTTAGTGGGGAGATTGTTGAAATGCTGTCGTCATCTGTGTCGGCTTATAGTTTAGAGGGGCCACCCAGGAGACCTGTTGATGGATTGGATGTCAGGGTGGAGGAAATAGATCAGTCAAGGTTGTCTCCTTTTGATCTGAGCAGCTCAGTGGATTAAATGAGATCGGGGCTGCCCTGGGGAGGAACAGGTGCAGTGGGAAATATCTAGTGGGGATCTGTGGGCAGATGTCAAGTGTGTGGCCTGGAGGTGAGAGGAGAGGTTTGTGCTGGGTAGAGGTTGGGTGGCGGTGCCATACTGGAGCCTTAGAGCCAGGGTGTTGCCTGAGACCACTCTAGGAAAATGAGTGTAGGTGAGAGAAGCAGGTGCAGAACCAAATCCTGGGATGTGCAGCAATATCGTGGTTGGCAAAGGTGAAGGAAGAAGCCAGACACTCAGTCCAGGAATTAGAGGAAGAGAAGACATGGAAAGCCAAGGGACGGGAATCCAGGACGGCAGCTGTGGTCACGCCTAATGGGTGAGACTGAAAGGTCAGTAAAATGAGGAGAAAAGGAGGAACCGTTGGGTCTGGTGAGGTGCTAACAGGGCTGTGTAGAGTGGAGTTTGCCTGGAGCTGGACTGCCTCGCTCCCCCGCTCAACAGTGTAGTGACCTAGAAACCAGGTGTGATGACAGCACCTGCTGTGAGGATCCCTACTGGGGCTCAGATGGTAAAGAATCTGCCCGCAATGCAGAGGACCTGGGTTTGATCCTTGGGTTGGGAAGCGTTCCCTGGAGAAGAGATTGGCTACCCACTCTAGTATTCTTGCCTGGAGAATTCCATGGACAGAGGAGCCTGGCAGGCTACACTCCATGGGGTTGTACAGAGTCAGACACGACTGAGCGAGTAACACTCACTCGCACACTCACTGTGAGGATTAAATGAACCCAGTATGTGAACACAGTCAGAATGTTGTCTGGCATAGAATACACCATAGCTCTTAGCCATTACTATCATGGTGGTCTTTGGGGACCCCTGATACATCGAAGGAGATGATGGAGATTCCTTTCCTCTGTATTCATCCTGCTGTGGTAGTGCTCCCTGCCCTCCTCCTCTCTCCACAGACACACAGCATCCTGGGTGGGAAGGGTCTGAGTTTCAGATTCACGGTGTAGGAAGCACGTGGTTCCCTCAAGGCATTCTGGCTGGGAATCCATTCCGGACGTGTCCATGTCTGTTTGGTCCTGAAGTCATATATAATCGTGTCTTTTAAATTTGCTGTTTCTTACACTTGTTGTGGTAGAAAAGGTAACTGTAGCATAATGAGAAAAGCACGGGGTTTGTCATCAAACAGACATGGGTTTGTTTCTCAGCTCTGCTGCTAATTAACTGTGTCTGGAGTGGCCTCTGTCCTGGCCCTGTGGAGCTGAGATGATAACACGGCCCCTGCTTTCCAGGTTGTGACAGGTCTGGTGTGTAGCACAGAGCAGGCCTCCAAGGGAGGTGGCTCTTGTTGGCCATCTTTGGTCATTTCAGAATGCAGAAGAAAATTGAAATGAAAAGTTTTGAATATTTATGCATTTATCTTCTACTTTCATTGTTATAACTGTTATGTTGCTTTACATCCAACAGAAATATTTCCAAGGAGTTTTAGTGCTGTGAAGGTTTTCGGACTTCAGCTGCCCTTGCTATTCTGGGGAGCGGCTTTGCCTTTAATGGCCCTCCTGGTCTGGACTCAGGAGGATTTGCCTGTCACTGTTGCCTTTGTCTTATTAAGCTCCGTCTTCTGGGAGCTCATTTGAAGGGAGGCACGTGTAGTGACCCTCCTGGTTTCAGCAGGAATTTTGAGAGCAGCATTTGCTTCCCAGAAGAGCTGTCAGTAAGGGGCCTCGCTGGGAACCAGCAGAGATAGGAGAAGAGGTCAGCTTTTAAAGCATGCAGGGATTTGACTTTATGAGTCAGCATGTGACTTGTTTTGTTCTGTTTAAGACTCTGTTATCTTGCTTCTACTTAGTAGCACCTGTTTTTTGATTTGTATTACTTTTCTGTTAGAGTCCCGGAGTGCAAGCGATGGGGATCTTCACTGAGCCTGGCCCAGTGCCCAGAGTGTGGGGGGCACTCACCAGATGTTAGTGCTGCCTCGGTCACCACCTTTCTGCTCTTCTTTGGTCTAGTGTGGAATTGTCTGAAAGAATATGGTACAGAAGTTCCTTAGACTTTAGAAAGAATGTCTTCTGAATAGCTGTCTCCAAATGCTTAACCTTCTCTTTGTTCTTTTTTTCAGTTTTATTGGACAGTTGACATTGATTTTAAAATATATGTGGTTTCTCACATTAAAAATGAAAATAATTTAAAATGTTGTTTCAAAAGGGTGTCCTAAAGAAAATAGAATTAAGGCAGTAAAAGAGCACCCAGGAATATATGAGATGGAAGACACAAGCCACAGACTTAGGATAGCCTCCCCCGTGTCATGGTCATTTTTACGGATAGAAACAGTGGATTGGCTAAAGCTCTGGATAAAGAGAGTATTTTAAGCCCAGTGGAAATCTTTTACTCTTGGAAAAACACAGTGTATATATATTTAAAACTCTTTAATAACATAATTTATCAATAAATTCTATTTCCTATAGGTATAATGTGGATACAGATTTTTATTGGTTTTAAAAGTTTATATTACATTGACAGTCCTGTGAGGGAAAAACACAATATATCTTGGTTTTTCTCAAAGTATATAAAGTCCACATAAAAAGCTTATAGTAATTGTATTCTCATTATTTAGACAGCGTGTTACTAAATACGTTTAAATTTATGTGTCAAATATCACATCAGATCTTGTTGAAGGGCTTCAAGGAAATTTTCAAATAGAATGTGGTCATCTTATTTAAAATGCATTCAAATGTATGAACAGACCCAGAAGCAAGTAACCTAGCAAGATATCTATCTGCTTAGGGTTCAGCAGCCTTTCAGGAGTTAAAAGTAAAATTTATCAGACATCAATAGTTTATTGAAGAAATACTCCTTTTTGCTTCATAATTTGCAGAAGGCTGCAACTGTCAGTCATGATGTACTGCCTCTTGAAATTAGTCAATAGAGCAAACAGCAAGGATTGCTGTGGGCAGAAAATAAGCACTGTAATCATGACATAACTGGGGTCAGTGATTTATGGATTTCAATATAGTAGTAGCTGCATATGATTGAAAATTTACTAGGTCACTAGTGCACCAAAAATTTTATTCACAGCCTCCAGGCATCTTTTGAAATGTGCAACAAAATAAAAACCTCTGAACCTGTTTTGACACCGCAGACTCAGTGGATGACATGCCAGCCCAGTGAGTCTCATTTAAATGTAAATGTGTCATAAACTTTTGTACTGTACTCTTTAAAACCGTCAACTACCTGAAGGGATAATGCATGTGAAACTGATTTACATGTTGAAGTAGTTAAAAAGAAAAGACCTTTTTATAATCACACTTAAATTCTTTTATTTTAAAGTTGGAAGCAGAAGCTGTTCCTGAAGTATCTGAAAAATATGAAATTAGTTCTGTTCCCACCTTTCTGTTTTTCAAGGTAAGGATAAAGATGGTGGAGGAGACGCTTTGTCAGTAACACGGGGCTGTCTCTGCCGGTTCCTCTACCCTTTCCCCTGATTGCTGAGCACAGGGTGTTCGCTTGCTCATCGCCTTCACTGTTTTATAGTCTCATTACTTGTTTGCCCTGGGGGTCCTGGAAAAGTGACATGGTCTGTGGAGGTCCAGCCACCAGAATGCATGACTGTAAACCCAAAATGTTTCCTGAGTTGGGTCAGAAGTTGGTTGGTTGGGAAGTTGGTTGGTTGGGGCATGTGCCTGGATATGATGAAACATCTGGCTGCTTCTGGTTTGATTAATGACTCTCTTAGGAAGTGGGTGCAAATCTGTGTTTCGGGGCACCCCTGGGTGTCACCATAGTTCCCCAGGTACCTCCTTTGTACTTCATAACAGCTTGACCACAGTGGGGGTGGGGAGATCCTTTCTGATCTGGTTTGAGGAGCAATGCTTCTTTCCCAGTGTTTGCAAAAAGAAAAAAGGAAACCAACTATTTATTTCTAAAATTGACATGTATAGCAGGCAGTTTGTAATCCGAGTTTTAAAAAATTTCTCCTGTGATAGTGTTGACCTCTTTAAATATTGGCTAGAGCTATGGACTTGTGCTTGTTACAATTTTGGAACCTAAAATAGATGATGAAGGAATGTACACATACTCTTAAATGACTTCTTTAACTTTAGAATTCTCAGAAAATCGACCGATTAGATGGTGCCCATGCCCCAGAGTTGACCAAAAAAGTTCAGCGACATGCGTCTAGCGGCTCCTTCTCACCAAGTGGTGGTGAGCACCCGAAGGAAGACCTCAGCCTGCGCCTGAAGAAGTTAACTCACGCTGCCCCCTGCATGCTGTTCATGAAGGGAACTCCTCAGGAGCCGCGCTGCGGTAAGGGGCTGCTCTGAGCCACGGCCTCACGGGGGCTGAGCTTGAGACCACGTGCTCTGTGCAGACTGTGCTGGACATCTTATATCAATGCTTGTGATCAGACACCCTTAGAAGAGCAGAAAGGTGGTAATTTCCAGTGGACTCTCTAGTTAGGCGATGAGAACTTGTTGGCAGTGTGGACTTGGAGAATGTTGGAACCAAAAGGCATCTTGGAAACCATCTAATTCAAAACCTTTGTTGGCTGCCTAACTCCCAGTAAAGGCGACTTGCTCAGCCACTGAGTAGCAGAGTTGGGGTTGAGTCCTGGCCACCATATTGCTGTCTCCATTAATAGGCTTTGGTCTGTTCAGCTAATCTTGCTCTTAACACTTACCTTCTCTTTCTTGGCAGCCTCCTTTTATTCATATGGTTCAGATTCAGCAGTTCAGAAATGCACAGAATTACGGTAGTGTTCCAGTGTCCACCCTGTATGCTTTTGCCTTTCCTGTTGTCTCTCAGTGTCTGATGACACTGTTCACCCATTGCTGTCATTTCCAATTCATTGCTTCTCGGGATTTAAAGATTCCTAATTCTGTGGCTTATAGTCACTCTTACTATCTTACCTCAGATATGCATGGAGTTTTGTCCTTAAGTAAGTTTCAGAGTTATTTGACCCCTCTGGTATTGAATTTGTGTTGTTTTCTTTTTACTGTGCCTCGTGCAACATTATTATGCTGCATAATTGAGCATTTAATGCCTTTCGATGATGCTGTTGAGAACCTAAGAGTGTTGGTTTCAACTACACAGGAGGGATTTGTTAAAGATAGGTGGCAGGGAAATTAAATGTGTTATCAGTATCATTACTGCATGTCCAGTGTGACTTTATAAATACAGCCAAACTTCCACTAAAAAGTTAGTTGTAAATTCTTCCCTATACAGTTATCAAATTACATATTAAATTACGAAAAAGTCTAGTTTTAAATGTGAAGTTTCATGGTGAATTCTGTCTTAGTTAAAGAAATGGTTCCTTTCTTAGTTCTGCTTGAAAATTTTCTTTGCCAGCATTTACATGTTAGATGCCTGCTGTTTATGTACGGAAAGGCTGACTTAGTCTATGTGAGAGTTAAACAGAGAGAGCCGCAGACAGGTTCTGCGTGTTGGTTGTCTGTTTTTATTGGATGCTGCGCCTGGCCCGCCTCCCCCATCAGGCAGGAGCACTGTTTCTGGCATGCTCTGTGCTGACCTCACAACAGCAGTCCCGTTGGTCCTAGTTAGGACCTTCATCAGGCCTAAACCATGCAGAACTGGCTCTAGGGCATGGAGGAACCTGCGTGACAGGTTAGATACAGTAGACCCACAGTAAAACCAGTAGGGTGTTACCTTCTTTGGGAGCAGAGCAGTGATACTCTCTTAATCTCTTCTGAATGAAGAGATTACCTGGCAGGTGAAACTGCAGCTGGGGAAGGTAGTCTGAATCGGCAGAGGGGAAGGGGATGTCCTGGAATGTTTCGAAGACCAGATGCTGGCAAGCGGGCGCTTGTTGGCTGTGTCTGCCTTGATGCCTCGAGCTTCAAGTCGGCCACCTTCCTCATGCCTTCAGTTCTTCCTTGGTAGTGTCAGAAGGTTGGAGTCAACCTTGGAGGGCCATCCAGGTGCTGAATGATTATTCAAATAAAATAGAATTACACTTAGAAATAATCATTTTTCTGCTTACCATTTACTTATTAGGCTGAATGTATTGAGGTATTTCTAGCCATCTTTATATTAACCACCTGAGTGGCATTTAGAATGCTGTACAAATAATGAGTTAGAGTGAAGCTTTGAAACATATCAGAGCAGTATATTATTGCTCTGTATTATACACTATAACATATACTATATTATATACATTTAGATAATACTTGGGAGATATAAAAACAATTTTTAGATACATATGATAAACAGTTTCATTCCTTATTATTTTTATATATATGTTATGTAGAATTTTTGTAACTACATTTTAGTAGGCTTTTCTGTTTCCCAGTATTTTGGTTTCTGTGACAGCATGTCTTTCTTCACATATAGTAAATAGATTATTTTGAATATTGGTATTCTTTACAAAAGCACCTAGTTAAGGCTTAATCGGGAGCCTTCTGCTGTGCCTGTGCCCGGCCGCTCCTTCACTGATGCCGCTCTGACTGTTCGCCCTTGTCTGTGTGCACGGCTCCGCGCACTGTCTTCATCTTGAGACTGTCCTCTTACAGGAGCGCACACAGCGTTTGTCCTCCTCCTTCCTGAGCTTGTTCAGTGGGAAGCTGCTCTTGCTTTTCTGATGGCACGTCAGAGGTGAGGCCTAGGCACACTCTTCTTTAAAAAGAACGGCCCTCAGTTCTCATGAATGCAGGTGGCTGGTATTTCCACACTTTGTGCAGAATTCACTTTGAAGGCACTGCTGTCGTTAACACGCATTACTCCCTTTGGACTCCCCGTGGGAGTAGAGCCACACTTGATTTTTGATTAGCGTGTCCGAACCTTGCTTTCAGTAAAACAGAGAAACATGAATGAATAACGCTTAAACTTTCTATCAAGGAAACCTTGAAAGCCGTTTCAGGGTCTGCCCTGGGATCTGCTTGGACTCAGCCCAGCCCCTGCACATTGCACATCTCTGTCTTCTCAACCTTAACTTTTGGGCTCTACCTGTAGCATGGTTAGTGTCTCAGGAGCCTGGCATGCTGATAGGGTCTCAGTCGTCAGAGGGTTAGACTTCCTTTTTCTGTGCTGCCCAGGAGGACAGGAAAGAAGGCTGTTGGTGCTTTAGGATGATTTTCGAGGAGCACTGAGATGCACATCTTTTAAAACAGAATGATAAATCCTTAATCTTGCAGGTTAATTAAGTTTTCTGTGAGTTCTCCTATCTGTTTCCTGTAATAGCGCTTTTAGTAAAGCAAAAGGTATTTGAACTACAGTACAGAAATTTCTCTTGCAGTGAATCATCTAATTGGGTTTTACTTTTTAAATCAGACATGGAAACATTACAGACTCCAAAGCATTCTTTAGGGCTTTATTGTTGTTAGATAGTGATGAAATGTGGCAGTTAGGCTCCTTATTCATGTCATCTGTCATGAGTGGAAATGATTGTGGAGAAAAATGGTGGTTCTACAACAGTTAAACATGGTTTTTCTACTTCTAAATATTTTTACTGCATTCATGCATTTTTCTTAAAAAAAAGTGTGTAAATATTTTGTTATTAAAATAAAGCCTTCTATTTTATCCTTCAGCATAACATTTCCAGTCTGCCACTTTAACCCTTAAAAATGAAACACTACCAATCAATCTCTCTAGTCTGCATGTAATTGCCTAAAGCAAAAATAAAGCTTTTTCTCAGTCAGTTACAGTAGAAATGAGTTAATATATTGGCAACAGAATAACCATCAGCAATCAGCCGTTAGCTGTTTACTAATGAACTCCCAGATGAATGAAAAAATTTCAGAATCAGTGTTTTACTTCAGGCTGTACATGAACTTAACACTTCAGTTGTAGGAAAAGCAACTAAACATGCTATACAAATAAACACTGGTGCTTCATCTCAGTGAATGGCAGATCTAAAAATGTCTGGAGCTCAGTAACAGATCCACATTTTAATAGTAAAAGTGCTTTTGCATGACATCAGGTAAAGCCTATTCATGATATGATTTTATTTAAAAATAATTGCAGATGCTATTACCTTCTAGGAATTAATCTGAAGATAGGTTATTTTCCAATGGCTTATGACTGTGTTTGGAAAGAAGAATGATGGAATGTGAAAGAGTGGAGTACAGAGTGTTGAAAAACAATCAGGAAGAATTAGCTTATAGGAAGAAAAATACCCTCTTTTCAGACAAGACTAAATAGGTTTATAGAAGACTGATATGCACACTCTTATTCTTCAGTACTAATGTCATAATAAGAAAATGATGTCAAAAAAGTACAGAACAAAAATGTGTCACGAAAGTGTAATAAAATCATGGAACATAAGATTGTCACTACAGTGTGGTTAAAAAAAAAAAGAAATCACATTACATGCTTTGGGGAATATAAATAGTTTTAGAAAAGAAACTGTCAAGTAACGACACTGGATGAGAAAGGATACTGCCAGTCTGTTGACAGTTCATATACAGCGGTAGAGGAGATAGCTTTGCAATTCAATGTGCTATGTCATTTTAGACTAAAAGAGAACATATTGCTTTCTTGATTTTTAATTTATTCCATTTAGGGATGATGAAAATTGAGAACTATTGGAATGGATACACAGGAAGTAGTAAAAGGACAATAGAAACCAGACAGAATTGGGTTTCCAAGTATGGTCCAGTAGTAGTGGAAAATAGCAGTTGTAGAGTTTTCTCTTCCACCTGGTGCTGATTCTCACAGATTCACAGAACAGCAGGACCTGGGGCGGGGGGCACTGTCTGGGTGTCCAGGTCAGTCTTCCGATTGATAGCAAAGTACAGGGAGGTGGGGGTGGCCTCCAGACCTGCACTGGGCCTCTGCTTGGTGAATGGAGCTGGCTGCCTAGGCTTGAGGTCTGTGCTATTGGCTGGCGCTGTTTCCCCTACTATGAAAATGTACCTAATATTGAAGAGGAACTTGGATAAAAAAACACACTTTTTAAAAAACCCACAAGTGCGTTAAAAAGTTACGCCATACCTGAACATGTAGTGTGGTTCAAGGTCAGAGAAGAGGTTCTTGGAATTGGTTTCCTCCTTACACACTAGTCAGCCATGCTGATTAAATTATTGGTAAAATAGAGGCAGATTATCTGTGTTCAGTAGGTAGTGTACACTCTGAATTAACATAAAATTGTGTGTACGTGAGAGAGAAATAAATTTCTTTATTTTCTTTTTCTCTGTGCAGGTTTCAGCAAGCAGATGGTGGAAATTCTTAACAAACATAATATTCAGTTTAGCAGTTTTGATATCTTCTCAGATGAAGAAGTTCGTCAGGGCCTCAAAACCTATTCCAATTGGCCCACCTATCCCCAGCTCTATGTTTCTGGAGAGCTCATAGGAGGACTTGATATAATTAAGGTTAGAATTGAGAAGACCATTGTAAAGAATTTCCATGTTTATTGCTGCTTAGTCGCTAAGTCGTATCTGACTCTGTGACCCCGTGGACTGCAGCTCACCAGGCTTCTCTGTCCGTGGGATTTCCCAGGCACGAAGGCTGGGCTGGGCTGCAGGTGCTTCCTTCAGGGGGTCTTACCGCCTCTGGGATTGGATTTGTGTCTCTTGCATTGTCAGGCGGGTTCTTTACCACTGAGCCACCAGTTTGGTATTTTCATATTTAAGCATACTTTTATAAGTGCTGTATTAAATCAAAAGTATATATTTTTGTAGAATCTACATTTTTGAATCTGGAATAAATAAAGTATTTCTGATTCACTCCCGTGAATTCACTAATAGGTGATTCACTAATATTTTACATAATGGTATGCCCAGGATTTGTTATAATAAATGTATAAATAAAATATGTGTTTATTTTAGGAGCTAGAAGCATCTAAAGAACTAGATACGATTTGCCCCAAAGCCCCCAAGTTAGAGGACAGGTAAGTGTGTTTAAAGTTTCAGCCTGCTATTATTTAAAAAGAAATTTTTGAGTTTTCATTTTTGTATTACTGTTTCTATGTAGAAATCAGAGGTTTGCTATTGTATGCCAAGGTCATAATTGTTACAGACTTAACCATGCAAACTTGGAAAGATCTCATTTGGACTGGAGAAAATTTTGCACCAATTTAATGATTATGTGGAGGATATTCTTGATTTTTGTAGAAATGTCACTGTCACCATGAAATGACCAGGTTTTAGCTCTCTGCAGTTTGGAGCTGGACTCCAGTCTTGGTGTTAGGTTTCAGCTTTCTCGTGTGTCCTGCATTGCGGCCTCGGGCCGGCTGCTGTCTCCATCTTGGTAGAGCTCTGTGAGACGTGTTGAATGTGGAAGGCAGAGGCTGTGCATGGAGGTCTGTGTGGAGACACTGGGATTTCTCATTGCTGTTCTTAGGACCGTGGTAACTTAAAATTCAAGAACTTTTTGTTTGGAGCTGTAAAACTGCTGTCTTATGAAGGGTCTCAATTTGCTTTTAAAGATTCTATCTTATAGAAAGTTTGGACTTGGGTCTGTAGGATTTTAATTTTAATAAATGTTAATTGTAATAAATAGTTATAATAAATATTAATGTAGAGGATTAAAAAGCAATTTATTTTGAAATACAGCAGCATATCAACCATTCATAGTTGGCGCTTGAGTTTATAAGGTAAAACCTTCTCTCGTAATTTTCTTCTCATTTAACATTTTAAGATTTCCTGCAAGTGCTCACTTACCTCTTTTGGTTAGTACAGTGCTCCTCATAGTTGGCGTGTGTGTCGAGCTGACCTGGAGGTGCCACGTGCTCTCAGATGGCGGGCACCCTCTGTGCCTTCCTGACCGGAAGGTGCGGCTCCAGGCCCCTATGGCACTCTCGTGTCCTGGGCCAGGGTTTGCTCTGTAGCCTGGGTGGCTTAAGGAGGGGTGTGGCCCCAGAAGACTGTCTCCAGACGCACTTGTATTTTCTTAGTTTATTTTCCTCTGTGTTGAGTTCACCTTTGCTGTTGTTTGTATCCCTGTTTTCATTAGACCACTCTTTCCTAATGTGCTGTGTTCAGGCACCAGAAGATGACTGGCTAGAATTATATAGAAAGTAATAGTCAGTACATTTTGAGTCATAATTTAAAGGGCTCCTGGAAAGTGCAGTGTCGCAGCCCAAGTTCTTGGCCTTGGCCATGTCTCTGTGATGGGACAGATGGACCTGTTTCGGTTCCCTGGATCCCAGAAGTTGGGGCTCCAGGTGAGTGAGTGGGGGCTTCTGAAAATTGGCTTCCTGCACCATGTGAAAGTGTGTGTGTTGCAGCTTTGTGTATGATTTGTCTACTTCATTTGTGAGACCTTTTTTCTTGGAGGAGATTTGGAGCCGTGAGTGTTCCAGAGCATGTGGAAGGAGGAGAACGCGGTGTGGTGACCACCGCGGGGCCCCTGGTCCTGATGTGGGTGGGTCCTGAGATCCGCTGTGGACTCCAGGGTGTGTGCAGGTGGTCAGCATTCTGGACAGCAAGCTAGATCAGGAGGTTTGAAAGATGGTATAAAGTTGAGAGGAGAGCATTAGACTTCAGCAAGTGAGGCTGAGCATGTCTCCCCCCAGGTGGGACCTTGTGGGCATGAAGAGTGTGGGGCTGTGCTGGCCTCATGATGGGAAAGGACACACGTGTCTAGTTCAGGAAATTCCAGGCGGGCTCAGTCTGTATGTCCCTTATTGAGCAATTCCTTACTGAGTTGGTTATTATTTTTTTAGTTCTGTGAGTTGATGGGCTTAAATTTGCAATTTGAAGGCACATTTGTTGCCTTAAAAAGCCATATTGTGTTTTACAGTGGCTTAGGGAGACAGTGAAATAAAGGGAAATGTCAGTGCATTTGCTTGTTTAATACACTCAGTGCTGTGAACTCTCATCCTGCCGTCCCTCAAATGTGCACGGTACCCGTGAAGCGGAGCGAAAGTGGTGTTTAATAATTGAGCTGAGCCCTTTCATATCAATTTTCTCTCTTCAGGCTCAAAGTACTGACAAATAAAGCTTCTGTGATGCTCTTTATGAAAGGAAACAAACAGGTAAAGAACTCAAAAATGGTTTTATTTGTAATTTCTTTTGATGTTAACATCTGCAACAAGGGGACACTTAAATCTTTTTTTCCTAGCTTTAGCTAATGAAGCTGTAGTGGTAGCAGGAAGTTATCCAGGCCTTAATTGGTGCTTATGGAGATCAAACAAAGTAATCTACATTTTCCTTGACTTTATCATCAGCATCTCAGCGGGGTGTATTTCTTTTTGCTGCCAAACTTTGTCAGTGGATGTGGTCAGCACTGCTAGCACTGGACGGGTTCCGTTAGCTGCTCTCTACTCCCAGAGCGTTCACTTCGGGGCTTGGTTTGCAGCTCTGGACCATGGTCTAAAGTGCTGGCGATGGAGAAAGATGCAGGGCTGCATCTAGGGGGCTCAGAACTTGTTTGATGAATGAGTGGAACGGTTTGACAGTGTTTATTTGTGATTCGGTGCTTCTTGTCGCTCCGATGGATGAAAGTTGTGTTGATTGTGCATCATTCTGAATACCAAGTTTGATAGCTCACCCCCACTGATAAGTTGATCAAAACCATCTAACCTGTGTATTTGAATTAGATTGGTGATCTCTAGAAGCCAGCCTCTGTTACCTTCCTTTGTTCTAACCAGGTGCTGAGGTGGGCAGGGCTGGGCAGAGGACAGTAGAACTCTGGAAGGCTGGGCGGAGGCGGTCACGACACTGCCATTCCATCTGCCTCACCTGTCCAGTGGGGTGTGTTGGGCAAGCCACTCGCCCCAGAGCTTCAGTGTCCCCCCTAGTGGATGGACAGGGTCATTCTGGGAAATTTATATAAGTAGCACAGCTTGTATAACTAGTAAACATAGCTGTTACAGTGGAAGTAACATTAACTAGGAAGATGTGGTGATATACATTTTACCAGATTGGGGTCACTAGATTAGGACCTAGATTCCTTGACTGCTTCACTGTATTTATTAAAACAAAGTAGAGGAAGTTAATAATTCCCAGTCACCTTTTTTTTTTTTTTCCTTCTTGGCGGTTATTTAAAGCAGATTTTTATATTTTGTTCCTGGAAGCCCAGGAAGTAATCATGAATTCTGGGAATGGAATTGTGAGTGCTGGTAAGATGTTTACATGGTGCCAAGTCTTCTCTATAGGACTGGGATTTGGGATCCTCTGGCATGAAAAAAAATTGTTAGACTTTTGTATAACCTCAGAAAAGTTTGGTACTCCATAATGTAAACACGTTTAAAAAGTGGGAGTAGGAAAAGGGTGATCCCAGCCACTGCAGAAAGGAGACATTGCGGCTGTGGGTCTGCGTGAAGTGGAGCAGAGGCAGCAGGGTTTGATCATGAGGTGACAGTGTCAGAACACAGTCATCTCCAGTGCTGACAAGCCCAAGTCAGGCTGGGGGCCGCGCGTCTGGGGTGACGTCTGGATAGGCCCTTCTTGAAGGGGCAGGTTTCATCCTTCCGTCGGCTCTGGTACGAGGAGGCCCTGGGAGCTGGCCGTCTTCTGCAGTGCCGTCTCCTGGACAGAGCCTCAGACAGGGCTGTGCTTGTGGGCTGTGTGGGCATGTGGTGTACCCTAAAGTTTGTGTTTTTTCCTAAATGTAGGAAGCTAAGTGTGGCTTCAGCAGACAGATTTTGGAAATACTAAATAGTACTGGGTAAGTAAATCTTGTTTTCAGAGGGTGTACTTAAGAAGTTCTAACTTTTCAATTCTGACACTGCTTCTTCTTAGTTGTTACATCTGTTCATGTATTTTTATGTTTATTTTTGCTGTAGCATTTTGTGAATGCTTTAACTTAGACCACAGTAGAATTTTTTGACCAATGTCAACCTATTGGTAACATAAAGGAGGTATTTTGGCAGCCATTGAAATAACTATTTGTCTACTTTCCCAGAGGAAAATTACTGAGTTCTTAGCATGCATAAAGATATTTTAGGGAAAGTGTATTATATAGGTTTTTAATTTTCTTTAAAAAAGTATTCTAGTTTCCAAATAGTTTGTGAAACAGGAAGCACAAGAAGAGCCGTGATCTGGATCCGTGATCTGGATCCGTGATCTGGATCTGTTATGTAGCAAATTAGATTGTGGTGCTCATGCTTTTGGTCTCAGCGATGAAGCTGCCAGGTAAGAACACTGAAATTGTCGTCAAACCAGTTATTTAGAGATACTTAACACATGTTCTGTGTTGTCCAGTGTTTTTGCTTATTTTTCTTCCTTATTACTTCTCAACTGCCTCTTTTCAGTATTGTAAGGATTCTAACTGTAGCTTTAGATAGACTGGCCAACTCTGTGATTTGACAGGGAAAGTCACCTTTGAAGTGTGCGGGCATTCTTGGGCTGGGTGGAGCAACGCAGCCCCAAATGCAGCTTTCGGGATAAAAGAGGAACAGTCGCTCTATTCAGGTGACTGTGACACTTCACAGAGGAGAGTCTAGCTGCTGTTGTCCTCTGGCCTCCAGCTGCCGCGTCCTCACCCCACCCTGGGTTGCAGGAGAGGCTGGGTCTCCTCTGGTCACTTCCTTCCCTTTGCCACATCTCCCATGAGTCACCCTCAGGCCACCTGTCCGTAGCATCGGCCAGTGCCCGGGGGTTCTGAGACCAGGATGGGACAGTTCTGGGCCCATTACAGCCTAAGTATTTGGTGGAAGTCTCCATCACTTACTTTCTGTCCTGTATCTGTCTAAGTGGGATTGGATTGAAAGCACCAGTTCCCCCAGAGCAGGGAGCTTCTTTGGGACAGAGTACCCTCCCGACTCCAGGCTGGCTGAACACCTCCCAGGGTCTGTTCACGTGGAAGACTGTGATCCTGCTGGAGCTGTTGGAATATGGGGGGGTGCTTTTAGCGCTCTATTCCTTTCCTCCATCCTTGCTCTTGTCTGTTCCTTCCATAGGAAAGACATGTGTGCCCTGAGGAGCTGAGCACCCTGGGTGCATTGGGGTGTGGGAGGCGCCCTTTACAGGGGACTTGAGGAGGTGTACTGGCAGCTGTGACTCGGTATACCTGTGTACATGTAGGCCCAGCACTTCTTAGATCCCTTATATCAGTGGGAAATTCCAGAACTCAGGATTTTTATGATATTGTGTCAATTAGGAGATCTGCCTCTCTAGTTCAACTTGAAGGGAGGCTTACACTGTGTGGTTCTGTTTTTCTTTTTTTAGTCTTTTTTGCTCTACTTCCAAACATTACTTTCTTGATGCTTTATCCTGTCAAGTTCTTTTTTTGACTCCTTGCATTATGGACCATTTTCTTTGGAACTTGTGTATTAAGTAAACAGGATTTCCCTATGAAAATGCTTTGGTTTTATGGAAAACAAAATTCTTTTTTTCATATGTGGCATTTTCTTTGGCCAGGTTTTGACATTGCACATATACTTATAGTCTTCCTGCAGGGATCCAGTCACACATGCTTACTAATTCCTTGACTACCTTGTAATGAAATCCTCCTGAGTAGATATGGTTGAATTTTCACTCATTTATACAAGTAGCGTTCATTACATGGCATAAAGCCACAACCCTTTCACTGGTTGTATGTGTCGTGGAAATAGCATGTGTGTTCTAAAGTAAGTCATGCTCTGTGGAAGGCTCATTTCCAGAGGGCGAACTGGTGGGGGTGTGTTCCACAGCTGGTGAACTCTCAGCCTCCATCCCTGGGTGCTGCTGGACTGTTCCGTTCTCCTGAAGCAGAGAAAATCCAGAAAAATTTGTATCTTGGGATGACTTATTCTGTCAAGTACAAGACAGATAAAGAAGTAAAATAATTTCTGTTTCCCCCTAAATTTTGTTAGCAACAAAACAGTTTTACTTTTCTTGACTGTTTTTAAAACACCAAATAGAGTTTATAATTTTTGTCTAAAACTGTATTTCTTGTTAAAATGTTTTCTCCTTTTTGTAGGATTGAATATGAGACATTTGATATATTGGAGGATGAAGAAGTAAGTTCTGTGTTTTAGGTTTTGTCTTTTGTCTTAGTTTTAACCATTAGGATTGTCATTTATTCTAACCTGATAGGATGATTTCAGGGTTCCTGTTGTTTCCTTAGGTTCGGCAAGGATTAAAAGCTTACTCCAATTGGCCAACGTACCCTCAGCTGTATGTGAAGGGGGAGCTTGTCGGAGGACTGGACATTGTTAAGGTGAGGTCAGGAATCACTGGGAGCCTGGAGGAATGAAAGCCTGAGCGTGTATGAAAACTGTCGTTTCACTGGACTTGTCCTTGGTGTCCTTTTCTGGCCTTGTGTCTGATTGCTCCAGCCCGGAGCTACCATCTCTCCGCCAAGAATATCTTGTCTCTTACCTCTAACCTGAGCCAGTCAGAATCAGCCCCTCACTGTATGCCCTCTCCTACCCACTAGGTCCTTTGCTCTGGCTCTGAGGAGCTGCCAGCCAGGGTCCGCAGAGAGACTCGGTGCTCAGAGCAGCTCTGGGTGTGGTCAGGCTCCAACCCTGATTCACTTGCACTGTACTGTTCTTCCATGTTTTAGCTTCTTTCCCCACTGTCTCTACTTTGAATTTCCTTGCATAGTCCATATCTGTATCCTTCAGGCTCCTCTTGTCTGTGAATCTTAAGTTTTTCAGCCAGAAATGATTGCTTTGCATCTGCTTCTGAAGTTCTCCTGCCCTGTTACATTTATATTGCTATAATTATATTACTTTCTGGTGTCATTTCAGTTGCCTTACTCACATGTACTCGGTGATGGAGTAAAGAGTGCTGGGCTAAAGGCCGGGGGCCTGGGACACAGTGCTGGCCTGGCCCTGCTAGCTGTGCCACTGAGGCCTGAGGACCTCAGGACTGGGTGAGGTCATCTCCAGGTCCCCCACTCGTTCTCAGATGCTGGGAAACTGGAGACCTCTGTCAGGTTGTCAGTGTATTTCAAGGACTCTGTTTCTTCTGCGTGTTTGATGATGGATTTTCTAGTTGGGCTGGCTTTCAGTTCAGTTGCTCAGTCGTGTCTGACTCTTTGCGACCCCATGGACTGCAGCACACCAGGCCTCCCTGTCCATCACCAACTCCTGGAGCTTGCTCAAACTCATGTCCATTGAGTCAGTGATGCCATCCAACCATCTCATCCTCTGTCGTCCTCTTCTCCTCCCGCCTTCAATCTTTCCCAGCATCAGGGTCTTTTCCAAGGGGTCAGTTCTTCGCATCAGGTGACCAAAGTATTGGAGTTTCAGCTTCAGCATCAGTCCTTCCAATGAATATTCAGGACTGGTTTCCTTTAAGATTGACTGGTTTGATCTCCTCGCAGTCCAGGGGACTCTAAAGGATCTTCTGTAACAACACAGTTCAAAAGTATCAATTCTTTGGCACTCAGCTATCTTTATAGTCCAACTGTCATATCCATACACAACAACTGGAAAAACCATAGCTTTGAGTAGATGGATCTTTGTCGGCAAAGTAACATCTCTGCTTTTTACTGTGCTGTCTATGTTGGTCATAGCTTTTCTTCCAGGGAGCAAAGCATCTTTTAATTTCATGACTGCAGTCACCATCCGCAAAATGATTTTGGAGCCCAAGAAAAGAAAATCTGTCACTGTTTCCGTTGTTTCTCCATCTGTTTGCCATGAAGTGATGGGACTGGATGCCATCATCTTAGTTTTTTGAATGTTGAGTTTTAAGCCAGCCTTTTCACTCTCCTCTTTCACTTTCATCAAGAGGCTCTTTAGTTCCTCTTCACTGTCTGCCATATTGGTGTCATCTGAGTATCTGAGGTTATTGATATTTCTTCCTGCAATCTTGATTCCAGCTTGTGCTTCATCAGCCTGGCATTTTTCATGATGTACTCTGCATAGAAGTTAAATAAGCAGGGTGACAATATACAGCCTTGAGAAGTACTCCTTTCTCAATTTTGAACCAGTACATTGTTCCATGTCTGGTTTTAACTGTTGCTTCTTGACCTGCATACAGATTTTTCAGGAGGCAGGTCAGGTGGTCTGGTATTCCCATCTCTTGATGAATTTCCCACAGTTTGTTGTAATCTAATCTAGACAAAGACTTAACGTAATCAATAAAACAGAAGTAGATGTTTTTCTGGAATTCTCTTGCTTTTTCTATGACCCAACGGATGTTGGCAATTTGATCTCTTGATTCCTCTTCCTTTTCTACATCCAGCTTGAACATCTGGAAGTTCATGGTTCACGTATTGTTGAAGCCTGGCTTGGAGCATTTTGCACATTACTCTGCTAGCGTGTGAGATGAGTGCAGTTGTGTGGTAGTGTGAACATTCTCTGGCATTGCCCTTCTTTGGGATTGGAATGAAAATTGGTCTTTTCCAGTCCTGTGGCCACTGCAGAGTTTCCCACATTTGCTGGCATATTGAGTGCAGCACTTTCACAGCAGCGTCTTTTAGGATTTGAAACAGCTCAACTGGAACTCCATCACCTCCACTAGCTTTGTTTGTTGTGATGCTTCCTAAGGCCCCCTTGACTTCACATTCTAGGATGTTTGGCTCTAGGTGAGTGATCACACCATCGTGGTTATCTGGATCATTAAGATCTTTTTTGTACAGTTCTTTTGTGTATTCTTGCCACCTCTTCTTAATATCTTTTGCTTCTGTTAGATACTGGCTTTAAGTAAATTCTAAGTGAATTTTAAACGGACATGACTTTGCTTGTAGGATTTCAAATCCAGAACCTAGGGCCCCCCACCTGGTAGCACCCATGTGTCTGGAGCTCTCTTCAGCAGCCCAGGACAACAGGGGGCAGCTGCAGCTTTAACATCCTCGAAGCCTCCCTGGAGCCCGCCCCCCGCCGCTGGCGTCACAGCGATGGGGGATGGTGGCAGTGGTGGGCGCAGGAAGGCCTGGGCAGCAGTGAGGACTCAGCTGCAGGAGTGCCAGCCTTCATGGAAGGCGGTGAGTGGAGCTGCCTGGGCTCAGGCCCTCCTTGGCCTTGCCAGTTAGAGGATTTTATCTGAGGTCAGGTCCTTGATGTTTTAAGTGGAACGCAAGTAGTAAGTGCTGCTGCCTCTGGTTGTCTTATAACCTGCTGCCTGGTTGCTGATGCCTCTGTAAGTTTTTGACTTGTTGCCGTCATCCCATGAAGGAGCTCTGGCCCAGCCCCGGGGGCTTTCAGCACTGAGTGCCGGCAGGTTTTCCAAGTCACAGGGCTGCGATCCTGCGGTTTCATTGCCCAGGTTTTGTCTCCTGCTGAGTTCCAGGTTTGATGTCACACTTCTTGAGGAAGTCAGTGAATCATTTCCCCAGTAAACTCTCATTCCTGGAGGGAAGACAACGTCTAACATAGTAGCCGTGAACAGCCCTGAGGCAGCAAAACCCGGTCTGCATTTGTTGTCCTGTATCTGTTTGTGTTTGTGTGAGACAGGCAGTGTTCAGAGCCCAGACACTCCCGAGCCTACTCTTGTCTGAAGGTTTACTGCCTGTCCCTCAGCCACTGCGGCCCTGGGGGCGAGGCAGGCAAGACGGCTCTTTGCACTCTGAAGCTGAGCTGTGTGGGCAGCTTCATTTTAGCTGTGTGAAAGTGTATGTCACATGACTTCTTGTGTTCTCCTGCTAAGAACTCACACGTCTGGAAGTTTGTGGTATTGGTAACAGTGTTCTGTGAGAAGATAACGGGTTTGATGTTATGTGCTGTGTTGGTCTCTTCTGGCAGAAGGCAGCGCTTCATCTTTATGTCAGTTAAAGTCTTAGCTGTGTTGCTGACGGCTCACCCCTGGCTTCCTCAGCAGGAGCCACGAGTGCTGGTTTGGTGGAATGGGTGATGAGTGAATGGATTCTGTGGTGACTGAGTAACTGCCAGGCTGATGTCTGGATAAAAATGTCGACAGGTTAGTGTGGATGCAGAGAGGTAACATTAGTGGCTCCGCAGCACGGCAGAGTTTGGGACGCAGAATCAGCTGAGAGTCAGGTGCTTCCGTACGTCACTGCCTGTCACCCTCCCTGCAGGCGAGGAAACAGGGAAGTTAGGGGAGTGGTGTGCCCCCTCCTGGCCAGGGAGCTGTTGGGTCCTGGTCCCACGTCAGGCCCGCCCACCCACCCACCCATTGAGCTGCGTGGCCGGCTGCCTCCGAGTCGTGTGCTCCGAGGTCGTGCATGGCTTCTTGATGTCGCCAGATGTCTGCTTGTTAAATGGGTACAAGATCCCAAGAACTGCCTGTCTGGGTTTAATCCAGAGAGAGTGCCAGTGGATTTTAGTGGTTTTATTGATTGATGTTCATGAAGCTTAAGAATAACCTGAAATGTCCTGTCAAATTGTTTATTTTAGACTAGAAAATCTTATTTATCCTCCACCGTCACATTTTAAACTTGATGGCTGTGTTCCAATTTTAGATCTGAAAGATAGGCACAAAGCCTTTGTGAATACTTCAGCTTTTTAATGGTTTCCGGCCTTTGTATTTACATACCAGTGCCTGGCTTTTCCAGGTTGCGTTGAAACCATGAAGCCTCTTTACTACCTGTAGGGCAGCAGGTGTCGTGCACATTGTATCTGAGTAGACCTGATGTTTCTTCAATCACTTAAAGTTCATTCTCCCTGTTAATTGCTGTTGTTTAAATAGGAAGTTCACTGTTTTGCTCCAATTGCTGTGTTTGCTAATGCTGAAAAATCTGTGGGTTTTCGAACATCTTTTAACGCTAATTTTGTAATGTGATAGTGTGCCAGTTTTTATGGTGGTGCCCTTAGTTTGAGTGTGCTGGGGGACTGGAGTTCGCATCCAGTGAGGTGTTTCTTTGGGTTCTCTGATAGAGATGCCATCTGCCATTGTATAGATGTTTTTATTTTCTATATATACGTATGCATGATACTGTTTCCTTCCTTATTTTTAGGAACTGAAAGAAAATGGGGAGTTGCTGCCTATACTGAAAGGAGAAAATTAATGAACGTTAGACTTGGTGCCCACCCACTGCAGGAAGGCTTCCTCCAGCGGAGCAGTTCAGGATTTAGTCCTCAGAAACGGACTAGAAGGAGAAAATGCTCATCCCCAGTTACGCTTTGTGTATTTCACAAGGCTGTGCTAAATAACGTATGTGACCTTTTTTTCCACCAAAAATAGAACGCAATAAACATCTTCAAGTTCAATTAAAAATAATTGTGTAAAAAAGTGTGTCTTTATAGTGATGTTAGGTGGGTAGTTACTGTAACCACCCCACTTTTCATCTCTTTTTCATCATCTGTAGGCATCTTGCAGTTAAGAAATAGACAGTCTTCAGAGAGTGGGGAACTTGAGAATCTGAACCACACCAGCATTTAGAGCCACTCACAGACCAAACCAATGGCTCCCCTCACTGGCCGAAGATCTTTTTACAGCTCAGAAAATTCTGCTGCACGCCTTTTTCTGAGCATCACTGAGCTGGGCCCTGGTGAAATGGCTGTGTCCGTGTTGGCGTCTGCAGATTCAGGAGCTGTGCCAGCCCCAGCAACGTAGTACCTGGGAGCCTCCCAGGAAGGGGGCTTCTCAGTGGGGTGTCAGCAGGCTTCTTTCATAACTTGTCCAAGGACAGGCAGCCTGGCAGAGAGCAGGATGGTGGCGTTGGTTTGTGTTACGCATCACAACTTACTCTAATCTTTGCACTAAAAATACTGATTTAGTCCTTAAATAAGTTGAGAACATCCAGAAGTCCATGAACATTTCAGTAGTATTTTTGATTCTAACATACTGAATTTTGAATCTGACATACTGAGAAAACAGCTGCTCCTGTAGGTCTCTGCCAGGCATGTGTTAAAACAGAAGGCTGAGTCCATTGCGATGTTCTTAGACTCTGTTGGTACCTGAGGCACATGTTATACTCATGGAGTTTTCCCTGCCTGTTGAGCTGGGTGGCTGAGGCTCCAGAAGATTGGTGTTGGTCAGGAAAGGGGCGCAGCAGCCAGCAGTTGAGGTAGGCGAGACGGGAGGAAACGCAGCCAGTTCCAGCACAGGTAAGCCTTCGCTCACCAGGGCTCTGGCATTTCCCACCTCTCATGTGACAGGCCATCTCGCTGCTGTTCCTCGTGCAGAGAGGAGAGACGTGCCCGTGTGAGTTACACGTGGCCTCGCTTCCTGCCACGAGGACGACACGCCTCATGGTTCAGTGTCTTCTTGCCACTGTGTATACTTAGATGCAGCTCTTTTGGGCATTAGTCTTTGAACTACGTTTTTCCGCTTTGAAAATAACTGTATAAGCAAAACCTCTAAAATGCAGATGGAAATGGATTTTGACTGAAATTTTATTATGCCGTCGGCTCCAGGGACGTGCGTGACTCATAGAGGAGCCCTGATTTCCTTTATCCCAAACCATCTAAACCCCATACCACTTTTGTGACTTCTGCACTCTCCACGGGTGCTGTCTGCCTTGTTGTATTTTCTACTAAGTCAGGTTTTAACCTCACTGTATCCCAAGCAACAGTATCTGCTGTCACAGCAACATGAAAAGATCTTTTTTTTTTTCCCTCTTGCATATTCAAATAAAATGCATAACTTTTAGCAAAAATTCTGCCCTCCAATTAGGGAGCCACCCTTATGCTCAAGAGGTGTTACTCTGATCATGTAAGATGCCACATGCGTTCTAGGACAGACTCCCTTCAGGGGACTCTTAGCATGATGAAGAGCTCTGGCAGTATCGTCCTTGGTTGAGCATCCGGTTTGAGTTGGGAGAGTTTTTGGGGAGCTGTCCCTGTGCTGAACATGAGGTTGACCTCTTAAGCCCTGTTAGTTGTTGGGTCCGTTGGCTCCAGATATGTTGGAGTAACAGTGGACCAGATTTCCATCTTGCAGGTGTTTCCAGCGAGACGTCAGGAAGTCCACAAGACCTTCGTGCAAACCGATAGCATTCCTCGCTGACTTTCTGGATGTATTTTAGGAGTAAGGCAGGTGAGTCCTGTGCCCAGTGGAACTTCACCTTCCATAGGTTGACCCCGATGAGACTTCCTAACAATCGAGCCTGCCCTAGTCATCACCTTTTGTCAGAGTTGTTATCTTCTCTTTGGAGGCAAAGTAGTTCCCAGCATCCAAGAGATCTCAGTGGGGGAGGCGACAGGTGTCATCTAGATGCTACCTGAGGCCGAGCTCTGTTGGGAGCAGGCTGCGGCCCAGTGCTGTGTGGGGGCTCTAGTGAGGTCAGGAACTTGGGGAGCAGGCGTGCGTGTGGATAGAAAGGCTGAGCATCACTGCTGTCCGCCAGGGAGCATGGCCTCCGCACGGCTCCCTGTGCTCGAGTTCACTTGGGAGTTCAGGGAGGCCTGCTGGGCCGAGAGCGCATGCTGGGCTGGGCCCGGGAGCAGCGGGTCACTGCGTGTATGTGAGGCCGCTGGCAGCGCCTGCTGCCAGGACTTCGTCTCTGGGTCTCTGGAACCTGGGGAAGCAAACCTCCCATTGTCCGGGTTGCCCTTCTGGGAACCAGGAGGGCTCACTGGGGGAGGGCAGGCAGCTCCGCTCGACCATGTGTCCTGCCCTGAGGCAGCCTCCTGTTGCGGGTTCCTGGGGGATCGGTAGCCACTTGGGGAAACAGCTTGCAGGAATGGACTTAAAAAATCCCAATAGAATCACTTTGATTTTACTTTTAAGCAGACATGGGAAAAAAAAAATGAAACCAATGAAAGGAGTTAGGAATTCAGGTGAGGAACTCAGGGAACTATGAGACTCTAGCTGCAGGACCCAGTGCAGGGTTGGGCTTTTTTGTGTGACTCCAGGATTGTATGACTCCTGATACTTGCGGCTCGCCCCTTCCGAGAGGCCACCCCACCAAGGTGGATGGAATCAGACTGCTGCCCGTGATGAGAAGTGCGGGGTGGCCGGCCAGCATGCTCCGCTCTGGCTGGCCCTCTCTTCAGCATCAGGGAAGCAGTTCATCCCACCTCCTCCTCCATCACTGTCACTCCTGTAGTCCAAGGATTGACCTGAAGAAGGCTGTAGGCAAATGTGTTGAAGCTTGCTCTAATAATGTCAGTGGTCCTTGGACGATTAAAGGACAGGGAGTGACCTTGCCCTGGTGGTGATGGAGCCCTCGTGTCAATTCTGGGTCACTGGGGCAGCCATGCTGTTCTTGGGTCCCGCCCATCTTGACTGATGGAAAACTTGCTCAAGAAGGAAGAAGAATTATTCTCCATTTTCAGACACCTACTGATGAGTTTGAAATAGGGACCGATTTTTTAAAAAGCACATTTTTATAATTAGAAAAATCTCATTTTTTAAAAAAAAAAACAACTTTCCAGTCATGTAGAGAAGTTACAGTCAGTTCAGTTGCTCAGTCATGTCCAACCTTTTGTGACCCCATGGAATGTAGCACGCCAGGCCTCCCTGTCCATCACCAACTCCCGGAGTTTGCTCAAACCCATGTCCATCCAGTCGGTGATGCCATCCAGCCATCTCATCCTCTGTCGTCCCCTTCTACCTTCAGTGTTTCTCAGCATCAGGGTCTTTTCAAATGAGTCAGTTCTACACATCAGATGGCCAAAGTATTGGAGCTTCAGCTTCAGCATCAGTCTTTCCAATGAATATTCAGGACTGATTTCCTTTAGGATTGACCGGTTTGATCTCCTTGCAGTCCAAAGGACTCTCAAGAATCTTCTGCAACACCATAGTTCAAAAGCATCAATTCTTCAGCACTCAGATTTATTTCTGGTCCAACTCTCACATCCATACATGACAATTGGAAAAATCATAGCTTTGACTAGACGGACCTTTGTTGGCAAACAATGTCTCTGCTTTTTAATATGCTTCCTCGGTTGGTCGTAGTTTTTCTTCCAAGGATCAAGCGTCTTTTAATTTCATGGCTGCAGTCACCATCTGCAGTGATTTTGGAACCCAAGAAAGTCTGTCATTGCTTCCACTATTTCCCCATCTACTTCCCATGAAGTGATGGGACTGGATGCCATGATCTTAGTTTTCTGAATGTTGAGTTTTAAGCCAGCTTTTTCACTCTCCTCTTTCACTTTCATCAAGAGGCTCTTTAGTTCTTCNCAGCATCATCTTTTAGGATTTTACTTAGTTCAGCCAGAATTCCATCACCTCCACTAGCTTTGTTTGTAGTGATGCTTCCTAAGGCCCACTTGACTTCACACTGCAGGATGTCTGTCTCTAGGTGAGTGATCACACCATCGTGGTTACCTGGGTCATTAAGATCTTTTTTGTATAGTTCTGTGTATTCCTGCTACCTCTTCTTAGTATCTTCTGCTTCTGTTAGGTTAAACTTCTGCAGAGAAGTTTAGTTGACCTCAGAAACAGCTGTAAAGCATTTAAAGAACTTGACACAGGTGATCATTACCTGCCTCACTGGAAGGAATTACAGAAGTAAGACCTATCCCGTGGCCAAATCAGAAGTTCAAAGCTTAAGACCGAAATATGAAACATGATTTCTGGCTTAATTTTTAATCAGTTTTCTTAAACTTGACAATAGATACATGCTACCAAAATTCGAACATTCTTCCCCTGAAGGTGAAAGTGTTGACTCTTTGAGACCCCATGCAACCCACCAGGTTCCTCTCTCCGTGGGATTCTCCAGGCAAGAATACTGGAGTGGGTTGCCATTCCCTCCCCCAAGGGGTTTTCCCTTCCCAGGGACTGAACCTGGGTCTTCTGCATTGCAGGCACATTCTTTATCATCTGAGCCACCTTACAGATAAATTCATTTTTTATACCACATTTCAGATGGTATAAAATGGTATATCCATTTCAGAATGGATACAGAAGTTGTTGCCTCATTCACCAAAATGGGTAATTTCAAAGACAGGGTTTTATAGTTCGTAGCCACACACAGGTTTCAGAACTCCAGGGCCCTTTTCATAGAGGTTTGTCTGACATCTACAGATGTTCAGATCCGGAAGATGTGAGTTCAGCTGGTTTCAGCTCAGTCGGGCCACAGCAGGGAGGGTGTGTTGGGCCTTGCCGGGCTCGCCATGCGCCGGCTGAGCTGAGACCTCAGCATCCTCTGGGGACGACTTCAGGGTGTCTAAGTCACTCTGCAGGGGTCCGGGGCTGGCAGCAGGGTCTGAACCAGGAAGACGCTGACTCCAGCCCTGGGAACTGTGCTTTGGACATCTTGACACGACAGCTTCAGCCGGAGGTCTTGGGCTTCCAATATGACAGGACTTTACATCCGTCGAGAGTAC